CTTTGGGTACGCCGTGCGAGATCGAGATCCCCGATTCAACTACGTACTTGCTACCTCCACCTACCAGGTATCACTAACTGTCTACTAAGTACCCAAGTCCAGATTGCACTGGACGCATCCTTACTGATTGGTACAACAGGGTCTCCCCATGGAGGTTCCTTGCAGCGTTATCAAGCAAGCAAGTCACCTTACCGACCGCGCAGAATGAGGAAGCCTTGTCGTCATGAGATCGCATCAACAGCCACTCCTGCAACCTACTTATCTTCAACAATTAAGTACCTAATTACCTGAAAATATTCTGATTGATTCTTATTATCATCACAGAAGGGGATAAGGCGAGACTGCGACTAGTACTAGTAAGAAGGAGACGCACACCCTCACCCTCACTGTCCTGCCCCAAACCAGATAGTCGCAATTAGGATCATCCTCCGCTTGGGGGGTTTGCGATGGGCGAATGGCGGCTCCTCTGCCGCGCAGGTGTCCAGCAGCGCCGACTGATTGGTGGCGGCTCCAGACGCACTTGAGACGATGGCAGCCGTCATTGACCTACCATCTATCTTGGCCTGGCCCCCTAATTCCAAGCTAGCAGTTCCTCCAAACAGTAGTAATATACTATACTGTGTAGTAGGATACTCCCCAGTCCAGTCGGTAGGTACGCAGCGGGGAAACTACTAAACTAACGGTGCTCCATAGCGGTATGTAGTTCTATTCTAGATGATGTGATCGTGCCATACTTCGCGCGTGGGGTCCATGGATGGTCAATACTCCTTCCCCGTAGCCTTGGGCATCCCGGAATTAGTTCACCCCGTCTATTGACCCTGGCTCCCCTTAGATAAGGGCGGACCCATTATTGGTGGCAGTCTAATGGTCACTGAAAAGTTGGTCAAGTGATAGTGCCTCAAGGCAAGCAAACTATAAGATGACGGGGAGTAACTCCTGAAGAGCGCTATCAATCACCACGCTATCACATTACCCACCCCCCAATATCCCACTCGGTGAAGAAAGATACATCCCAACTTGATTAGGTACCAAGCAGTCTCAGATCTGGGAAGATCCTTCGTCTGGATATGGCAAAGGCGCTTTTGAAATATAAGAAAGAAGCACTACTCTGGTGGAACCAAAGAATGAAATAGCTCGTTTAGCAGCTAACAACAATTAAAATCATCGTCCCGTATAGATACATTCGTTAATTGGTAACGCCCGGGCCGGTGTAGCCCGTGTCTGGCAGGTAGAGGTGTCGCTGGGCGCCCCGAGACGTCAGCACCACCAGTCGGATTACACCACCGGAACTGCCATCCCACTTGATTGCTTCTTGCAGTGCTCCGCGGACGAAGTTGATGCCTTCCTCCTCTGTCATGTTCTCCCTCCAGTGAGCATCACAGTAGCCATAGATATAGGTTGATCCAGATCCGCCGATAGAGAACGGTTGCTTGTGAAGAGACCCGCCCAACGGTATCGAATACACCTGACCTCCGTGCTTCGGGTCGTATCCGGCGATGATGATACCGGCACTGTGATTGATTGGTCAACAAAGATTGCTCGGTCCAGGCTGATCCGGTTGTGTGCCTACCTTAGCATGTCCTTGTTCTCGTAACATAGCTCTTGGAACAGCGATGCGGCGACCTGAGTACTCGGCGCCTCGTTGTTGGTGATCGAGTACATGTTGAGGTGATAGGACACAATATCTGCCACAGCCTGAGTGTCCGCGGCGGACCCTGATCGACAGCACCAGATTGTGTCATGGACCTGCGTCAACTTGTCGGTGACTCGATTGGCGATGTAAGCTCCGGTTGTCGTCCGACTGTCGGCACCCAATATAACACCATCCTTGAAGTTGATAGCCATGCTGTATTTCGTCAACATATGGAATAGTTGTTGCATCGGAGGCTGACTGAAACTCACATCGACGTTCCTAGGCTGTACAGATGAGTTAGTGACCGTTCATGCAAGTCTCATTGAGTAAGTCAGGACATACTTTACTTCTCCGCTCTTCAAGTGGTTCATGTCAACATGAATGCCATCTGCAATAACTAATTAGCTCCTGCTCCGACACATCATGAACTCACAGCACGAGACCACTAACCCTCGCCGAGCATCCCCGTCATACCGTGACCGACCATGATGACTGATTGAAAATTGACAGAAAAGATGGATAGTTCCTGTCTATGTAAAGCTACTCCACCGAGAGAAAGAGGGTATGATGGTAATGAAGAGCTGATGGGAAGCAAACGTTAAGTGCAGTGTGATTGATGGCTAGAGAGGTGGTTATGAGCTCTGACGGAGCTCTCCAGGCAGGTGAACGCGTTACGTTGGCAGCTGGAGCTGAATCCGCCGGGCGGTGAGAGACAGCCACGTTCCTACTGGGCGGTTCCTCTTCCCCCCGCAAGCCTCCTGAACGACTTCCCCCAGCCATAGAAAGCAGCCCCCGATGAAACAAACCGACGCATTATCTCCCGCTCCAGGCTGCAGGGTATCTCGCCGGATCGTGACCCTCACCACTTGAGTTTCCCCCTTCCTGCATCTTCCAGCGCCCGACCGTCAATCCAAGCATTTTCACCGTCTCCGTTCCAGCCGCACCGCTCTTATCTTCCGCGACACTGCCTGATTAGCCAGTCTACTACCATGTCGGAGTCGCCGCCCCCACCGTCATGGAGTATCGCTGGCATGGCCAACAGTGCCGTGCAATTCTTGCGATTGCCAGTTCTGGCGTCTTCCGGTTTGGCTGTAGTAGCCAGCGGTCTTTTGTACTTCAAACAGAAGTTCGTAACCTGTCTTCACAGACGTCCTTGGAGAATATCTCAGTGATGTGCCGTTAGACGCTGACCCCTTTTGCAGTGAGCTCATCTATCCTCGCAATGTTCCCGTGGATGCGCGCACGAATGTCCCCAAGCCCCAACAGTTTGGAATCACAGACTACGAAGACCTTCAAATTCCGACCCCCGACGGAGAGTCGTTACATGCCCTGTTCATCCGCCCTTCGCGCAAACGTATAGGCCAGAATATCACCGTGTTGATGTTCCATGGAAATGCCGGAAACATCGGGCATCGCATTCCCATCGCAAAGGTCCTACAAGATGTCCTAGGTTGTAACGTCTTGATGCTGGAATACCGTGGTTATGGTCTGTCAACGGGCACACCGGACGAGACGGGCTTGAAAGTCGATGCTCAGACGGGGCTAGAATATATCCAACAGCGACCGGAAACTAGAGACAGCAAAATTGTGGTGTATGGACAGAGCTTGGGTGGAGCCGTGGCGATCAACTTAGTTGCCAACAATCAAGGCAATGGTGCGATCGCTGGTTTAATCCTTGAGAACACATTCTTGAGCATTCGCAAACTGATTCCTACGTATGTTCCTAACCATATGACCGATTACCGACCAAGGCGATGCTATCTACGTCTTCCTAAGCAGGGAAGTGCTGACTTGGTTTATAGGGTCTTCCCTCCTGCTCGTTACCTTGCCCGTTTCTGCCACCAGTACTGGACCAGCGAGGACATCCTGCCGAAGATTACACAGGTCCCAATTCTCTTCCTGAGTGGGCTGAAGGACGAGATAGTCCCGTGAGTGCCCTCAGGATTGTTGTACAAGCCGAGTCCCAGCACGTCACTAACATGCAGCTTATGATCAGGCCATCCAACATGACTCAGCTCTTTGCTATCTGCAAATCTGACCGCAAGGTTTGGCGTACACTTCCAAATGGAGGACACAACGACAGTGTGGCCGAGCCAGGCTACTTCGAGCATATCCTCTCCTTTGTGAGGGAGGAAGTCCTCGCGGACGGCCAATAAATCGGCCGCCCAGATGGCATTCTAGGCAGCTCCACCACGAACTTCAGCCATTGACGTGAATCCATTTCCATCTCTCGGATCGCTCTGATGACACTGATGTTTTCCTGGATGCTGTGCTTTCACCAACTGCCAACGAACTAATGACCGCTTTCGAACCTTTGCTCCTTCTCACAATACCTCATCCTGCAAAGACTATTCATCCGCAGTCGTGTCTAGGGAGAGGTTCTTTTTGCAGTGCTCTTCACGTGTGGCTGTTGTTGCATGATGAAGTTCTGTGCTCCTTATTTACCCAGTTTAATTTGCCCTTGGCACTTCCCCCCAAACAGTCCGTCTGTTGTGGTTCCTAATTCAGACCCTTTAATTGTCCCCGCAGCATTGGTATCAACACTGTACCCATATCAATCATGTTTCGACAGCAACTTGCCTGTTCTTTGTCAATGCTCCCTGCGTGGAGTCTACCATTTTCTCTTGTCTTATGATTTTCATGCTCATGGCGTTACTGACTCTGGCTTTTGTCTCATTATTTCTGCGCTGCTTCTGAAGTCAGGCGGTGTCTGGCTTGTCTCTCATCTGGCTGCATTGGCTGAATGCACTCATGGATTTATGTGTTGAGCATCTACGCGTTCGCACTAGAGAAAGACCTAACAGCCATGATCGTCCATCTAATAAAGATTTCAGCTAGTCTAATGAACCAGTCATGGTAAAACAACAATTTCGCGATCCCGGGGAGTTGCTCGTACTGTGTAATGTGTTGTGGCTTTGTACTCCGTAGCAGCTGTAGACATGCCAGTTGACTGCATAGAGAACATAAATGACTCAGCAACATAGTGGCGCTGCACAAGGCACGGCCCCACGTGGATAATCGCCGAGCGGAAACGTCGAAGTCAAGCCATCAATTAATGGCTCATGCCATCATGCAAAGTTCAATAGTCATCCCACCCGTTCGTGGCTGGCAACCCCCAGCTTCCTAATTCTTTCCTTCTCGTACTCGCTGCCGTTGCTTCACTGTATCTATTTCGTTTGTTCCACGTTAATTCGTCTGTCGTTCCTTCTCTCGTTGAAACAGGACACGAGTCCTCTAAACCCCCGTACCAAGCATACCCTAGACGGGCCACTTGGCGATCTGGCCCGCGATTGACAGCATTGATTTGCGATATCCCTGAAACCCACCACTTTCGTACCCACCATGGCGAACCGTCAGATTACTCGACGCATTCTCATCAGTGCCGCGATTGCCATCTTTCTGCTCTTTGTTTTCTTTATCCGACCTGAAGGACCACCGAGTCCCGCGATCCGTGCACCCGGTCACCTGGAGAAGTCTACGCAGGCCGTGGTCTCGAAAGATGACCTCACCAAGGGCGAGGTTGTGATGCCCCGGCTGGGGAATGCAACCGCAAAGTAGGCTAAAGCCAAATTCTATCTTGCATTCTTGACGTTTACTGATTGTTCAACACCAATCGCAGAGCCGAATTGGGTCGTGCGACATGGAAGTACTTCCATACTATGCTAGCTCGATACCCCGAGGACCCGACAGAGGAGCAGCAGGAAACCCTTCGTTCCTTCATCTACCTTTTTGCGCGACTCTATCCATGGTACCTACCAACACTGCTTTCTCTCGCTGCACTGGTTGTGGTTGCTGACTACTTAATCAGTGGGGAGTGCGCTTCTCACTTCCAGGGTCATCTGAAGAAGTACCCGCCGCAAGTTTCCTCGCGCAATGCGGCTGCAGGATGGGGCTGCTTTATTCACAACGAAGTCAATACCATGCTCGAAAAGCCGATCTTCGACTGCAATAATATTGGAGACTTCTACGACTGCGGCTGCGCCGAGGATGAGGAGGGCGAGGGTGCCGAAACCCTGAAAGATAAAAAGAGTCAGAGCGCTGCTCGAGACGAGGTTGATAGCGTTGAGGCGATTTCTCCTGTCGAAATATCCAGGGAACCGTTAGTTACTTCCTTTGTTTACCATGGGGGCGAAGATACTGATCAGACGATCTAGGACTACGCGGGGTTGAACAGGACCGCCGAATTTTGATATCTAATCGATGCACCTGGTTGCGTTTATACCCAGTACTCGTTCTTGTATGCTCCACCAGCGCAGGATCGCTGGGTGCATGGGGCCAGGATCAGTACATTAGCGTATGATTTCTACAGCCACACTCATTCAAGTTCCGCATTTATCGTCCAGACTTTGTACTTTGCATGTGAATATCATCTGCCCTGTAAGCACCCGGACTTCCCGGAAGGGGCCTTCGCTTCTCACACAGCCATTGTGGGAGGATAACAGGAATTCTGCAGTCACACAACGGTAAATGAAGCTCCCAGCAGGTTCTCAGCAGATGCGAGCAAGCGATGGCCGGGGCGGCCGGTAAGGTTGCGGAGGTATGCGGCATCGCGCGCATGACTGCAGAGCTGCATCTGACTGGCGCGGCTGACCAAGACTAACGTAGCCTGTTGCTGAACATAACAAGGCACGGTGAATTGCCTCGCTCCGCTACAGCAAGTCTCTGAATGGACAACTACCCAGTCTGCGATATAGTTGAGTAGTATTATCGACACCACACTGGAAGCGTCAGCGACAAGGCTGAAACCCGTCTTCAAATAGATGAAACACTCAGCCATCAGATGGCTCGATTCGCGCGCGGCCCGGGTCACAAAAATAGAAATAGGATGTCGTTAAGCTAGCGCCATCGCTGAAGCGAGTCCGGGCTGTCAACCAAAGGGTGGCTTGCACCGAAAGTCTAATCAACTGTAGACTGTCGATCTCACCCACTCCAAGCCTATGGAACAGGGAAGTATTATTGTGCCTAGATAGCTGGTGACGGGCTCGTATCGGGTTCTCTCCCGCACCATCTGTAGGATCGTCTTTCTTTCGCACCCAGCGCTACACTAATCGACCCGGTGAGGGCGGGTGAAGCTGACTGGTGACTGGTTGATCCGCCCATCTTGCTGCACGGCGTCAGGTCTCCTGATGAGTCCGTGCTGATGTTCGGATGTGCAAGCGCTACACCCGTGGATCAGGTAGACCACGGGTCATCATGTCACCGTTTGCATGGAAATCCTGGGACTCGTCGACCGAAGGGCGCGTTTCAGGTCTGCGAGCCCAGGTCAAACTCAGCCCTGGAGGTCATGGTGGAAGACCGAGCATGAATAGGAGCCATATTGGATACGATGCGTCCAGTGAAGCCATCCTCTTAGCAGGTGGTATCGGCGGTAGGAAAGAGGCACAGATATTCTACTATCTTGTTTCCTTTGATTTGATTGCGGGGTTGGAGAGTCATGGCCTGATTCGTCAGGTACCAAATGCCTGGCACAAGGTTTGGAACAATCCCAAAGCAGTTAAGCGCCACCCAGAGTTAATTCTGGACTTTTTACTTTTCCGCCCTTTTTTTTTGCTCTTTTTCTTCTTTTTTTGGCGAGGGGAAAAGAAGGTAAAAGCAAAGCAGCGAGACGCAGCGGCGAGAGCAGGGAAGCTTTTTCTTGAAGGCGCCGAGTGCTTGGGATCCGGTCCGCATTTATTTATCTGACCTGCTTTGCTTATTTTGCTCGGGTTGTCCGACCATCCCTCGTATTTGTTTTGCGCCGCCAACAACAATAACAATCACCTTCACTACCACCATCCGGCGTCGGTTTGTGTTGGATTGGATTGGATTGGATTGGATCTCGTCGCGCAGGGATCCATTCGTCCCAAAAAATACTCCATCGCTTGGTCGGCTTATTCCCCGACAGGTTCAGTGCGGGTCCCGACAAACTAGCGCCCTTCTCAATTGCCTTCTTTTCTTCTTTTTCTTGCCTTGCGACTTTGAGTTCTCAATATATCGCTGCGGAAGTCCCGACTCGTGCAGACACTTGAATAGTACGCGCACTACATCGCCGGGTTAATCAATATGGTTTCCTTCTCATGCGAGGTGAGTTGTCCTTATCTCTCGTTTGTCACGAGCTGCTACCTGCGCGGGACTCTATTGGAAATCATGCTAACTCGCTGCCTCTTCTTAATCTCTAGGCTTGCGGTGATGTCCTCACCAAGAAGAAGCTTGATCCCCATCGCAACCAATGTCGCGGCGCCTCCTTCACCTGCATCGACTGCATGGTACACTTTTACGGAACTGAGTATCGGTCGCATACGGTATGGAACTTCTACCCCTCCGCTTATTCTTTCGCCGCGAACTATATACTTTGCGCTTCGTCCATCGGGTCGGAACTCTCTGCGCTATGTCTGATTTTTTGATTGGTGGATATCAGCGCTCGGGCTTTTGTTGGGAGAGTGCAGGCGCATCTCGTGAACAAGAATCGTGTGACTGACCTGTTTTCTACAGTCGTGTATGAGCGAGGCGCAAAAGTACCAGGGCGCACTCTACAGGGAGAAGCCTTCGAAGAACCAACGCAAGGCGCAACAGAACAATGGCAAGCAGAATCAGAAGCAAAACAACGCTCATGGTCACCGCGCCCCCTATGTCGAAGATGCGAATGACACCGACAACCCGCCTGCGGCTCCTACTCCCCCAATGGCTGAAAACGACAAGTCCCAGGGAGCCTCTACGCAGAACGGAGACAAGCAAGTCAATGTCTTTGACTACTTGGTGACAGAAAAGACCCCCAACGCGTCCAAGGTCTCTTTGGGCGGATCTAAAGAGCAGATGAAGATGGTCGCCAATGCTCCCTCCGTCTTCGAGCCCAGCAAATCTCTGACTCGCGCCGACACCGATGCGGAGGAAGAGAACAAGAACTACGATGTCGCCTACGAGGAGAATGGTTACTCCTACGGAGCTGGACCCAT